TCCTCTGGGCTGGGAGCAGCGGGAGGGATGGTGACCGTGAAGCCCCTTCCTCTGGACCAGGAGCACTGGGATGATGGCTCAGAAGCCCCTACCCCTGGCCGGGAACAGTGGGACTCAGTACCTTGGTCTGGTGGTCTGGTGGTCTGGTGTCCTCTGCTCCTTTGTAATGTGGAATCAGTTGGCTGCCTGCCTGCAGTGGGGTGATTTGGTGTCCTCCGCGTGACTCAGGACCTTGGTAGGGCGTGCACAGACCTGCCTGTCTGCAGTGGGCTGATTGGGCGTGTGTTCCGTGTGACTGCTGGTCTAATTCTTTTATATCCCTCCATTCCTCCTTTTGTAACAGAAATGTTTATGCCATGCCATTGTACTTTGGTATTATGTAATCTTTTTTATTTTTATAGAGGTTCATAGCTAAGAGTTTTCTTTGAGTCTCAGAAGAGAATACACTTGACCTGGGTTTTGAGAAAAATGTTGTAAATGTTTAGAATTTGGGGAAGGACCTGTTGCATTTCTGGTTGTACATGGGATAGTTGTATTATGTTATATATTATATATTTGGTATTGTTTTCATTTGGAGACTATGTATGATTTAAGGAGATGTGCTTGGGAATGAAGTTGACAAAGGGTAGGATGTGGCAGTTAGGGTGAAGCATCAACTTGATTCGATTTTGCGTCTGCCCAGGAGATTGTGAAGCAAACTTGTGGGTATGTCTTGGTAGGTCAAAGAGGCATGGCCTGGGGTCTATGTCTGGTCCTTTCCTCCTTCTCTGGTACTGTTCTCCAGCTCTGATTCCTGGCCTCCATGAACTAAGCAGCTTTGCTCTGCCATGCCCTTCTGTCTTGATGTTTTTGCCTTAGAGGCAGTGAACCATGGATTGAATCCCCCTGAACTATGAACCAAAGTAAGCCTCTCCTCTTTTAAGTTGTAGTTGTTGGGTATTGTTTCCCAGAGATAGGAAGCTGACTAATACATGGCTAGATCTGGTGTAGGGACAAGAGTGAGGACAAGCATTCTGCAACTGGAGCTAGTGGCTGGCCCCACCCAGTTCCTTAGAGTGCTAGTGGCAGACATAGGAGTTGAAGACTGAATAGCAGTACCCAGGTTCACAGGTGGGGTAGATTCTCAGGAACTATCCTGACATTCATTCATTTTAATTTGTGAAACAAGGAGAAATTAATTATCCCCAAGTAAAATGTCAAATTTTAAAACACAATAGACTTCAGTTGGGAAGTACTCATAAGGTCTTAGAGCCTGCAGTTAGATTTTGATATATGGAAGAGAAGTGATGTTAGTTGGGATAAATAAGAGATTTTGTTTTGTTTTGCTTCTGTGTTGCTCAGTTTGGTTTTAAGAAATATTCATTCATTAGAAAGAGGACAAATTTTTGGTGACACTGGAAATTTGAAAGTCTTTTATCCTATTGATTTGGGCAAAATGTGAATGAGAAGCAGAGCTTAACTCTGGAGTATTGGATTTTGAGAACTCTATTGATTGCTGAAGTCCCCATACAGCTCCATAATTAGGGTTTCACTGGTAGGCTCAGTATTTGGGTTGGTCATTGTTAGCACAGGCTAACAACAAAAATCCATGTGCTCCACCTCTGATGTAAAGCTTAAAAACCATCAGGGCATACAAATTTCTCCCAATCTAACATTTTAGTGTCAATAAAATCAATTTGTATGCTTTTACACATTGGACATAGGGTGATTTCTAAAAGTAAAGAATCTATTGTTTTCAATTCTTTAATTCTAGAGCACTGAGACTTATACTTTTTTATTTTATAAGATAATTTTTGTGAATTATTTAATAATTTTTTCTGGGTCCTATTTGTTCAGTCCATTTCCTTTCCCATCTCCTTCCTCATCCTCTTGTCCATACTTCCATTATACTCCACACTTTCTTATTGCTTAAGAAATATGAAATGTTGTCATGGTGGCAGGTGTCTTTCTGTTACTCTTGTTCCCTATGTCCTCCACACCATACACCAGTGTGCCTTCCCCTCCTCCACATTTAGTCAGTCAAGTGCCATCCTTCCTTCCATTTATTCCTATTTCTTCATGGCAATGGTGTATTCTTTCCTTTCTTCTCTTCCAACCCAAACTCCTCAGAATTCACAGAATAATCAAGCCCCAATAGACCTCAACTAGGTAAATGTCACATTTTAGCAACAATCTTGCTTGCCTGAAGTAATTAATGTAGTAAGTATTCTGAATTATTTATTTTTACAGAATGTTCTCAGGTCTGCCTTCTCCAACATCAGCTTCTTGCCTGGATAACTGTAGTCTACCTGTGTCACCCCTGTCAATTTATCCCAACACAGGTGAAGTAAAGTTTCTAAAATGAAAATAGAATCATGCTATTCCCAGGTTAATAGATTCCCATTGCCCATTCTAATGAAATACCAAATCTTTCTTTTGGCCTAGAAGGATCAGAGCCCAGGCCTCTCCTGCCATCTCTGGTTTCATCTCATGCTTCTGTTCCCCACAGGTTCCATGCTAGGGCTATCTTGAACTTCTTTCTCTTTCTCAAACTGCCGTGACTTCTACCTCCCCAGAGTCTGTGCATGTGCTGCTGCTGCCTTTAGCTAGAATGTTTTCTGCTGTGTGTCTACTTCCTGCCTTCCCTTGTCTCCCACTTTTTCTGTGAGTGACTCCTTGGCCAGCTGTGGAGGTCTTTTTACTTGGAGGCTTCAATTGGAGCTGCAGTGCAGGTCATGGCCCACCATGTGTTCTCTTGGACCCTGAAACCTTCATAGTGCAAGTTATATTTTCAGCCACTTCATTGTCTTTAGTAATTTGTTTAATATCTCTCCTCCCCAGGAAACTATTAACTCCATGAGAACAGAGAACTTGTCTGTCTGTTAACCATAGTATTCCCCAGAGCACAGCAGAGTTCAGCACAGAGTAGGATCTCAATATGCATGACTCAGATATATAAATTATATATTGTCAGCTTTCCATATCTACACATTCTGCTTGTCCACATTCTGCCAGTTGTAGATGGATTTTTTTTGGTGTGTCTGTGTTGAAGATACACAGATTGTTTTCCTTGTCATCATTCCCTAAATTATACAGAATAAGAACTGTTTACATAGCATTTACATTGTATTAGGCACTATAGGTAATCTAGAAATGATTTAAAGTATGCAGGAAGTATGTGTAGATTGTATACAAATATTATACCATTTTATACAGGGGACTTGAGCATCCAAGGATTTTGTTATCCCGAGGGGGTCTTAGAGCCAGTCCACCATGGATACTTAGGAATGAATATACATAGAATAAAATTTGGAATATAGAATAGTATATATTTATTTTCAAATAAACTAGAAAACTGCATAACATTTAAAAAATTATAAATAAACTGGATAGTATTTTATGCAGTGGGGATTATTCCAGTTCAGTTTGTTTTGTTTTGTTTTGGCACTGGGGATCGAACTCAGGACCTTGCACTTGTGAGGCAGGTGTGGTGCCACTGAGCTTAATCTCTGGCCCCCAGTTCTGGTTTTAATGAATAAGTAACAACTATATATGACCCATATTCTAATAAAAGATGTCTTTAGGTATTTAAGAATACTTTATTTTTCTCAGGATCCTTACTCTCTTTAAAGTTTCATTTCAAGTACACAGTATCATTACAATTGGAAAATCATTACATTTTAGTTAAAGCTAAGGCTGAGCTGACTTACTGTACTCCTGAGTTTCTTTAAGTATAATGCCATAATTTATTTTAAAAAGTCTTACTTTGGAAAATTTCAAGCATATAAAAATAGAATAGTATAATGAACATTTGGCCACTATGTTTCATCTCTCCTTTCTCCAAAGCTGCTCTGCCCATAGGTGGATTATTTTAAAGTAAATCCAACATGATCTCATTTCATCCATAGATAGTTTAATAAGTACATAAGACAGGGATTCAGATAAAGCCCACAATATTAATAATGTACATACCTGAAAATTTATACTTGCTCCTTAATGTTGTCAAAACATCTAATCTCAATATTCAGTTGTTCCTCCTTGAGATTTTTAAAGATATGTTTTTACAAATCAAGATTCAATTTTTCTCTTCCCTCTTTTTTTTCACTTTTTGTCTTGCTCTTTAATTGTCTGTGTGTGTGTATTTTAAAGGGGTCATTTGTCTTATATAATGCCTGTATTCTGAATTTTGCTAATTTCATCCCTAAACTTTTCTTTAAAACATTCTTTTCTCCAAATTTCTTATAAACTGATGAGCAATTCAAAAAAATTTGAGTAAGATTTTTTTTTTTAAAATGGTCCATCTCTTTCCTCACTGATTTGAGGTGATACTTTTACTAAATTTCCATATCAATACTATCATTTTAAAATCTAAAGAAATAAAAATTATTATAGTTAAGTTCCTAGTAAGATCCTGAATCCCAATTTTTTGAATGATGATTTTGCTTCATTATACCATTTTTCTCCTCTCAGATTTGGCATGAAGAAAAATACAGATTTACTGTTTATTTTTATAATCCCTGAAAAATTTAAAGGTATGTGCCTGTTAACTATAGTGTCTGTTTTTTCTTCAAATAGAAATCATAAGGCCAGTGTTTAATACAAAGATTTTTAGGTTGTATTTCAGGGCGTGGAGCTGATGTTACTTTAACTGAACCATTGACAAGGGAAAAACTGAGTATTGTGGTAAAATACTGGAAAATGTATTTCTCAAATACTGGTGAGTAAAAAATAAATTTCCAAAGGCTTGAAAATTCTCATTAAAATTCCAATTATGCCTTTTATTTGCTGAGGATTAACTGTTCGTTATATATTGTAAAGAACATGTTATCTTTGTTATGCAGGCCAGAAGAAAATAATTGTAAATAAAAAGAAAAATATATGGGGCCGGGGATTTAGCTCAGTGATTCTGCCACCTGCCTTGCAAGCACAAGGTCCCAAGTTCGATTGCCGGTACCAAAAAAAAAAAAAAAATACACTCTTTACATAGTAGGAAAAACTTTTTATATCCTCAGAGGGTTAAAGTATGTGGCATAATGTAGTGTTGTAGATAAGAGTTTTTTGTTGTTTTGTTTTTTGGGTAACAACATTGTTATTTATTTTTTCTTTTTTGGTAGCCTAGTGACCATAATATCTTGGTCATTAAAATGGAATTAACCATGCTGTGTCATTATATGGATGTCCAAAAGTCAGGGGCACTAACCTCAAATTGTATAATACTTTCTGCTTTGTATTGGTCTTTCTCATCTCTTTACCTGTTGTATTATGTGTTATAGCTAGCATCTAAGCACAAACTAATTAAATTAGCTTTGCTTATGAAAGGACAGACTAAATTCTGAAATTAAATTTTGAAATTAGTATTGGTCAGTGACTGTTTTTGGTTCTTATAGTTGTCCTGGGCCTGGGATACTAGCTGAGAAATCTTTTAGAATTGAGATGTGATGGAAGATGTTGGTCAAGGGGTGAAAAGTTTCAGCTGTGTAAGCTTAATAAGTTCTGGAGATCTGAACTACAGCTTGCTGCCTATAGTTAACTTGGTGCTTAATTGAATACAGTACTTGAAATCTGTTAAGAGGGTACATCTCAAATGTTCTCATCCCATACACAAAAAGAAACAAAATACATAACAATAAGGTGGTGAGATGATGCATGTGTTAATTAACTTGATTGTTGCTATTATTTCACAGTGTTTATGTACGCCAACTCCAGTTGTACATCCTAAACATACACAATTTAGAATTGTCAATTATACTTCAGGGAACCTGGGATTATCTTAAAAATTAAATTAAGATGTTTTTCTTAAAATATGCCTGAGTACATTTTTCAGGAGATAATCTTATGTAACTAATCCTGTAAAAGTTCATTTTCCAGCATTCAGCTGGAATTTACCCTGCCTTTTTTTCAAATGCTATTTTTATTTAATTTTTACGTAGGTTAATTTATTTAATCAATATAAGACTGAAAGAAATAAATGGGTATTCCCATTTTACAAAAATTTTTAATGTTATTTTCAAATATCCAGATCAATGAGCTTGCTTTGTAACATTCCATGGCCACCGGCCCCTGCAGATTCAGAGTTCTTCTTGAAAATGGCTAACCATAGTAGCCATGGTCCTTTGTGCAACTTGTTCTTTTGTGGTCCTTAGTGAAAGCAGAGCAGCTGCTCATCACCTGTCTAGCATCCTTCTATTGGTCACTATCCTGCCTCTTTCCAGTTGTCTCATCTTTGCTCCAAGGATGAGCAGCTGCAAAAAAATTTTTCCAGAAGCCATATTTTGATGGTGCAGCTGCTAATTGAAGACTCATGCATGTTTTCTGTCTCTTGACATTTACCTATAAATAGGCACTTGATAAATAAACTCAGCTGAATGTGTCTGAAGCACACCTGTTGCTAAGTTACTAGAATCTGATTGAAAAGAAGATATCCTGGAGTAAATAATATTTTGCTTTCTGACCTGGCTGGTTTTATGCTTCACAGAGTGAAATCTATAAATGGCTTTCTATTTTAAAAATACTGCTTTGTAAAATCATTATTAGTGATTTTAGAATTAAAATCGTCCTTTTTCAAAACTCAGTTAAGAAAGAAAATTCTGCAAGGCCTGAAGAACATGGATCGCCCCTACCAAGTTCCTATAGTGAACACCTGGGATATTTTTCTACTGATCTATTCACTTGGTTAGTTTTTCTTTTGTATTTTTTCATATATTAGCAGTTTTTGCTATATATATTTCATTTAAAAATTCTGGGGAACTTGTTGACTATGGAATACTAGCTCAAATGTTGAGGGTTATACAAAAAAAAGAGGCCCTTTTGTGGAAAAGAGATGGGATGCTTTTCGTGTTTCAGAACCCTGGATCATGAGTACAGTTTATGAAAGTTTCAACTCAGTATAAGAAACAATTATATCTGACTACAAGAGTTCAGGTCAACTTGTAAAGTAGCTAAGTTCCTCACCCCTGGGGAACTTTATCTGTGTTAGTAGAGACTGGGTTAGCACTAAAGTGGAATGATGGCAGTGATAGTCATACTTTTTAAAAAACAGTAGACTTCTTTCTTCACCCAAACCTTACCTATATCCACCTACCACTCAGCTTTCTCTGTATTGTTTTTCTTTAACTCATGAACTCATTCCCACAATTATTGACATCCACATGTAGAAAGGATTTAGAGATTCTTTACATACCTTAGGTAGCTTTTATGATAACCTCTTGATAATCAGGGAAAGTTTTAGTGTATTCTGCTGGCTCTCTTTCTCATGTTCCCCTGTGTCTTCCTCAGCAATAATACACTGGCATTCAGACCTGCACTGGACAGTCAGTTGAACTAGGGATCAGGTCTTTCCAATGCTAGTATGTAATGTTTATGAAGATTCAGCTTTTGTAGATTTTTGTCTCTCCATTTTAAGCTTATTTCCAAGGAGGTTTTAAATAGATCCTAGGGCTACAAAGAATAGATGAAAGTGCTGAGGCTGTGGGTAGTGATGATGATGAAGATTTTAAGTCAGTCACTTTTGGAATTTGTAGAATGCCACCATTTACTATTTTGAACAAGGAAGGGATTTGGCAGCCAGTTAAATGTGGTTAAACCAAAGATGAGCTTACCTAAGTAGTGTAGTGATAGCAGCAGTTCTTGTGATTTTTATTTAGGATTTTAATCTAAAAAGAGCTTTACTATACCTGACAAAGTTCTAGAAAAATGGCAGAGTCAGACCGTGTCCATTAAATGAAAAATTTTAAAATGGAAAGTATTTGCCTTTTGCTGGCCAAATTGGAAGAGGTTGTATCTTGGCCCTCTAATCCTTCATGCTTTTTCTTGTAATGTGTCTTTCCTTCTGAAGAGTAGATATAGTCCTGCTCCTTGACTCGTGATGGGCTGTATCTAACTCATCATAAATTGAAAATATGTCAAAAACACATTTACTCCATCTCAGCTACTGAAGATCTTAGTCTAGCCTATCTTAAACATTCTTAGAGCATTTGTTTTAGCTTACAGTTGGCCAAATTATCTAACAAAGCCTGTTTTATAATAGGTTATCTAAGGATTGAATATCTCATGTAATTTATTGCATACTGTGCTGAAAATGAAAAACAGGATGGTGGTAATGATATGCTTTTACACCACTGTAAGGTGAAAAATGATTGTAAGTGAACCATTGTCAGATGGGGACTGTCTGTAATTTGAGATAGTCATAATTAATGAGATCAGAATGTTTTAATGCTATTTGTATCTCATACTTTAGCAATACATTTTAGAGTTTTGATAAGTTATTGAACTTATAATGATTTTAATACATTCTTTTGAAATTTTAAAAGAAACTATTTGCACCAAATGTGTAAGGTTAAAGTGCTTTGATATTTGTTTCCCTTTTGTATGAAGCAAGAGACAGAGAAGCATTGTTTGAATAGTGTATTGGTGCTGATTGTTTAATATTGCCTAACAATTTCACTCTTTAATATATGGTCTGATTTTCTCTTTTTTCCAGCTCTGAATCTCTAAAAAATGACATTGGTCTTGAATTTAAAGTTCCGTTGTCAGAATTTGAGAAAAGCAAACAGATTTCTTTCCTTCATTCAAGCAAAGAAAAGCTGAGAAGGTGAATATCAATACAGCTCTTTCTTAGCGTTATTCCTTTATAGGGAAAAATTACTGTCAATGAATTTTATAATTTTTTGTAATATTGTTTAAAAGACTAAATGAACTAGGAAATCTGACAAATAAATGTCACTCATTCAGTCATTTAATAAATATTTTTATGCATATAATTTTTATGCCAGAAGATGATTTGAGGAGATAGAAAATCCCTAACTTCAAAGGAGGCTTTAGTTTAGTCCTCAGACAGACTTCTAAATAGGCTGTTGAAGTGAAAATTATGTTAAATAGAAATTACATTTTAATAAATGTCATGGAGGAGTACAATAGAGTAAACACACTAGGAAAGTTATGTAAAAACTGAATGAGGGCGCAGGAAAGGCTTTTTATTTGAGATAGTGATAGCTAAGTTGAGCTTTCAACAAACAGTTGCTATTTGGTTTAGAAGTCAGGGGAAGGATGTTTTATATGGAGGGGGATAGCAGATACAGAGGCTGGTAGTGCCAGAGAGCCCAGTGAATTTATAGAACTGCAAATATGGTTGGCTGTTAGGACTCCAGTGAGAAAAGGCATGAAATGAGAGGTAGTGGGTAAGGTTTGGAAGTGTCATGCTATGGAACTTAAATGGCAACGTGGACTGATTCCATTAAAGGATTTTATGAAATGAATGATAGTTTAACATTTTTGCTATTGAGCACTCTGGCAAGATAGTAGGGACAGAAGTGAGTTTGGAGGCCAGGAGTCTGCAATAAGAAATGGTGACATCCTGAGCAATGGTGTTGGAAATGATATGAAAAGGAATATACTCATTTTAGATATATGTATATGAAGTAGGTAGAATCAGTATGAGCACTACTAAAGGAAGAGTCAAATGTAACTCCCAAGTGGGTGGTAGACCAGGAGAGAGTAGAATGGAAATCTGAAGGGTGGTAGATGAACATATTTTTATTTTTTCCCTTGTTAAATTTGAATACCTTCAAGTTAACATGGAGTAGAGTTGCCCCTTTGATTCTAGAGGAAAGTCTATCTTGAAACACAAACTCGGAGGTGCCTGGACAGAGCATCTATTTGAAGCAATGAGTGTGTGGATGGCTCTGTGGTGCCTGTGAGAATCATGGAGGGAAGAGATAAGTGGAGAAGAAAATCTTGGAGAAATCTTGATATTTAATGTACAGGTAGCAAGAAGAGAAAAGGAAGACTTATAAGGGAAATAAAACCGAGAGAGCAATATTAAGGAGACCAGGGGAATCACATTTCTCAAAGGAGTGAATGTTCAGGAGGATCACAATGCAGAGATCAAGGAAGGAAAGAAAAAACTGATAATTGACTATTTGTATTTAGCAAAACCTGTCATTGATCTTTGCAAAAATACATTCATGGGCATGGGTAGGGAAAGAAATACACATTGCAGAAAGATGGGAAGTGAAATGTGGAAACAGATGAAAAGAAGGAGAAAATTGAAGACTTAGGATGAAATGAGTGATTTTAAAAGACTGGGCCAGTCTTGAATATGTTTATATTATAAATGAAAACAAACTGGAGAGAGAGAAGAAGGAAGTGAGAATTTTTCAAAATACTGTGTTCTGATAATCTGTGGCTACATAAAAATTGAAACCAAAATGTATTGACAGCAGTCATTTTATTCTACCTGATAGTCTTATGGATTAGCATTTGAGTAGGGCTCAGCCACACTATTCTGCCTACAAAATATTAACTGAGGTTATTAGGTAGTTTTGGCTTTGGATGCTCCAGTCAGCAAAGTATAAGATATCATGTCTGGAGCCTTTGGAGAGATGATTGGAAGTTTTGGCTCACCTGGGACTGTCACCTGAAGCCTTCCCAACATGTTAATTGCAGTGTTGTCAGAGTCTTTACATGGTGACCCTTAGAGTGTTTCAAGAGACAGGAAGTGGAAGCTCCCACTGTTTTAAGAATTTAATCTTTCTGAGGTTAAGAAACTGACCCAGTGCCACTTCTACCATATGCTATTGGTCCAACAGTCATCTCAGTAGGAGGAGTGTCATGGAAGTTCAATTTCGCTATTGTTGATAAGGAGTGAGAGTTGGTGATAGATTTCACATCCCCAATGAGGCGATAGAATACAGAGCAGATGAAAGAACATCTCTTCCACTGGAAAATGGAGAGGAAATAAAGCTCACTGTGGTCACATATGAAGTTTTTGATGAGACCAGACAGACAGGTAGTAGAGAAGCTCTGTGCTAAACAGCTTCCACTGTCTGGGGAAGATGGTGGGGTTTGAGGCTTTATGAGATGGGATAGTAGATGACCTACTCTGGTCCAGAAGGGCTTTACTCACATATATGCTTAAATTTTGCTGAGCTGCACAGTGAGGAAAATACAATACAACGAATATTTTAAAAGCTACATATTATAAAGTTCGTATGACATTATATTCTCCATAATTCATTTTGTGTTAAAATCGTGGTGGTATTAGTAAATAGTTACCATGAAATGGTATTAGGATACTCTTTATTATTCCATCTGTAGGTCTAGTGTTGGGAACATTTTATTAGCCCTTCAAAGTTAAATATTTGTTTTGTAAAAATTTTAGTGGTTGATGGAAATTAATATCTATGGACTATTGATCTAGAAGACTAAAAAGATGCTTTGGAGGGGTGGGGTGTTTATCCTCTGTTGCAACATTTGAAGGACTAGAAGTCTTTGTTTCTCAAAAAAAAAAAGCTTAGGGGGATCTCCCTTTTTCCTCCTTAAAGGTTTGCTTGGAGATACCAGGAGATAAAAGAAACCATCCCAAATTGTTTTTTTTCGCCTATCCCTGTTCTTAACCCTTCTGCCTAGGCCTGTGATTAACTGATTGCTTCTCGTCGGTTTCCTTTCTTCTTCCTTCTTGTCCAAATCAGTTGATTTACATATAATTTTGTATTTGGATTTTTTAACCAGCATCAGGTAACATGATATTTACCAGTGTCAGAAAATTATAGCTCTAGCCAGTGGTTTTGAACATTTGTATTTGTGACTTTTGTCCTTTTTAATAACTCTGACACCCCATTTTCATTAGAACAGAATAATAATTAATTCTAATATTCTTGATATATTTAAAATATATAAATTGTGGTGGTTTTTAAAAAAAATCTTGAGGATGTGTGTTTTCCAAGGGATGCTGTCATTTTCTGTATGTCCTTGAGTCTAACTTGGTTGATAATTTTCAAAAGAAGTAAAAGTTTTTCCACGATTTCTCACAAATGGAGGTTTTCCAAGTTGAGCCGTAGAAATCTCAGGAAATGGATAAAGAAGATGTGGGTTCTTTTTACAAAATGGAGTACTACTTAGCCATAAAGAATGAGAAATTAGAGATATTTATAGCTAAATGAACGCATATTGAGGCCATCCTCTTAAGCGAAATAAATAGGACACGCATGTATAAATACCAAATAGTTTCTCTAGTGTGAGAAACTGAGAGTAATTAAAGGTACACATGATGAAATGCCTTAATAACATATTTCTGGGATTGTGTTTCCATCGCGTGTCATATGACTGTATTGAAATTTAAATTAGGGAGAAGTTTGGCTTATGTGGAGTCTGCTAACTAACTGGAGTTTTTTTTCCAGATCATTATTTGTTCAGTGTTGGTTTTGGGGATCTTTCTGAAACAAATCACATCCTCTGGTGTCTTGTTGGTGCTTGAGATGCTTTTTTAAGTTGTATGGAAAAATATTTAAGTGCTTTTCAGTTTTGTTTTGGTTGAGTTCTACTGTGTTTGAATATTATTGTAGTTTTTTCCCCCTTGCATTGTTCTTCTTTGAATGGTTTTAATTTTTTGTATGTGTGTGTGTTTGATAATAAAGTTATTTAAAAAAAAAATCTCAGGAAGGTTAGAAAAAGGAGTTCTCAGATGGTCTTACGTGTCTGCCCCAGAAGTTACTCCCTGTGACTTGCTTGCTTGAGATACATTTGTTTGGAGGAGAGACTTAAGGATTTAGTTTGGACCAAGAACTTTAGCCCCATATTACTTATAGCCTTTCAGAATCACTCTTAACTGAGGAAGAATAAACTCAGATTGATTCTTTTTCTGATTTATTTGAATTAGGTTATAATCAAGTGACTTCCTTGGCAGATAAAAAATACAAGACTTGCCTTTGATTCATTGTTACATATTGCGCTTCCATACAAAAAGGAAAAAAAAATACAAAATCATATGGAATCTCTAGAGCCTGTTATTTTCATACTTTTTTGGGCCAACATTAACATCATTCAAAACGTTTCATTAAACTTTTTCTCCCATGTTTTCCTCGTCCTCCTCTTCTCCTTTTTAGTTTTTAAAAACTTGTGGCATAATTAACATGCCATGAAATTCATGTGCAATGGAATCTTAAATGTATAGTTTGAATTTCAAAAATATGGTTTGTTACTCATAGTTCTCAAGAGTAAGGGGCTCAACACAACATGCAAGGCCAGAGCAGGGAAGCCTCAGGGTGGGTCAGGGGATAGACAAATTCATACTCCTGTCTAAACCAGAGCACTTCCAGCACATTAGGATGATTCCTAGTGCATTAAGCATGTTTTTATTTTGATATTTTGATGTCTGGTACCTTACTGGCCATGGATAGCCAGCCCCTCCCAGGAATAGCTAGTTCTATAGGTAGTAAATTACTCATCTATGAGCACACCTTTCATATGCAAACAAACCAACCCAGAACCTGCACTTTTCTCACCTCCTCTATGGGGCCTTAACATTTCAGGCCAGTGTTCTCCTGCCCTAATCACCTCATACCAGGTACCAGACAACTTGGGATAGATTCTACACCTCAGATCTTGCAGAAATGATTCAAACTAGCTGATCTTAAGTGTGCTTTCCATCCCCCACCTGTGTTCCTTCTCTTGGGAACCACAGTAAAGGCCCTTCTCTGTACTTTCCTCCTGCCTCTTCTGCCTCCTGGTACTTCCTCATGTGGCATTATGTAGGGTGGAAGCCAAGTCCTCTTGGAAACTATGAACAACAATCCATCTTTATGGCCTCCTCTT